CACTCGAAGGGCCAAATGGTTTAGCTGTGCTCCTGTTTTGTATATTTATATTGTAACACGACTACATAACCAGGCTGGTTCATGTCAGCAAAACTGGAGAATGATAAAACTACACTTTGACCCATAGGGTTCTGTCACAATGAGGACACACTAATTTTAGAGAATTCGGGGAAGTTATTACAAAGGTCACAAAGCTACCTCACGGTAATCAATTTTGCTTTGGAAACATAGCTTCAAATAGGATCTCAGCTTGTTGGCTGTACATCGCTTTACAAAGGCTTTGTCAGCGTAAAACACAGAAACCTAACCTGGAATTCTCCTGTCACTGAATGGGTGGAGGACAGTTCAATACTGAGGAATTCATATGTGTTCAAAAGTAATAACTGCGCCTAATCACATTATGGTGAGGTATGAAAGGACACGTTCTTTCACACTCTAGGCTGGATTTCCTGTGTTAATCCAGGCATTAGAAGATTCACAACTGCCTGAAAGCCTTCATCAGGCATTTAATTCTCACCCTTCAAAGACTTAGATCCAAGAGTCATCTTCCCACCAATGTTAGACCGGGCCTACAATTATCTGACGTCACTGTTTGACCACCACAAAGCTGGGTCAAAGGTCCCTACACACAAAGGAAAATCTCCCTTAATTCAACCCTTCATTGCACAGACTGTCCCAGGATCTCTCAGACTCTATGTTCCTCTTACTGCGACTACATTGGTACACATTGTTCAGCTGTGTGAAAGCAGGGGAAGGAATAAATTCTGAAGGAACTTAGGAAATGAAAGGAACACCTGAGAGGGACGGAGTGGGTGGTGGAGATGGGGAAGTGAGAATTTTTTTAAAAAAGGACAAGGCCAGAGGCCATCTAATGACTCATTCTCAAATTACTTTAGAATTTGAACATTCCATTACTTCACCCCAATGGTCCTTTCTTTTCTGGCAGTTCATACACATTCATTCATCCAGTGGAATGTTGTCCTGTGGTACCGATGTTGTAGTTTTGTGTACAATGACAACAAGTGGAGCCGAGCAACAAACTGGGTTTAAAACAAAAGGCTCCCGTTGCGAGGGGGTGGGGGTGGGGGGGATGTTGTTGGCAAGATCAGCGTGGGGTGGGGGCTGCTGTGGGGAGGTCCAGCTCCTAATTACTGTCAAATGACTCTGGCCGGTGAAGCACATGTACAGCAGTCAGCTGAGGCCAGTATAAAGCTCCGTTATGACATGCCCACAGCCTCAAGTTGGATTTGAAGGAGGTACTGCATACATTCAGAGCTGTAGATTTGAATCCCGAGTTTGAGACCTTACATTCAACAGAGTGTAGGGTCAGCAGACTGCTACCACTGACTTTTAAAGAGGAGCATAGCCAACAGTGGAAAAGTACAGCAGGACTTGACCATTTAATTTAATTGATGGACTGGCACTCCCATGCACTACTGAGGTCGCGACTTCTTCCTGTTAAGATGTTCAAGCAAGGCTTTGCCTGACCTATCAGGTATATATTAAAAAAAATACAACGGTGCAATTCAAAGTAGAGCAGGGAAGCTGTCTCTGGTGTCCAGGTCAACAGAAGAACACAGAGAACATAAACATTATGAACAGGAGTAGGCCATTCAGCCCCTCGAGCCTGCTTTACTATTCAATATGACCATTGCTGATCTGGTTGTGGCCTCAGCTCCACTGTCCCTTCACCTCCCTTGTTCCTTGATAATACTCAGTACGTATCCTGCAATCAATTAAATGATGACCCGCTCATGTTTCACTATTGTTTGTGGGAACTTACTCTGTGCAGTCTGGCCATTTTTCTACATAGAAAAAAGTCAATGGCAACACTTCATAAAGTCATTGGAGGGAAGGAAAGCCCCGAGGATTTGAAAGCTGTTGTATCAACTTCCCAAGCTTCCTTCTTTCTGTTCTTCCTCAAACAGTAGGGCAAATAAAAAGGACTTGTCCCACTTTCCCCTTGCACATCTCCTGGTGGCAGCAGTAAGATTAAACATTCATTTTATGTGAGATGTGAAAAGGTGCACATGCATCAACCAGGCTGATGCAGACATTAGTGTGTTTTGTTTAGAGTTCTAAAATACATACACCGTTTTGATGGTTCACAACATAAAACAACTTTAATGACACGTTGTCTTTAGGAACAGAATCTTGATGCCACGAGAATGTTCTAGTTATATGTAAAATACTTTGTGCCTACTAATAGTTAGGTGAATGCGAATAATATATTAGAATTTCATCTACAATTCTAACCAGAGTAAATCTACATCTTTAACATTTGTAAATCCAATGCTCTTTAATACGCTAATCACAAATCTGCTTAGCCAACGTGGCTTCATTTCCACACTATCAAGAAGTTAAATCTAAAATGAATCATTAGCTTACAATCCAAAATCCATCTCCATTAGTTCCTCATGGTAAAGCCAGTAAATTATACAGGGACTGGCCTTCCCACACTAAGATCTTGTAATCCCTCGCCAAATTTATCAATAAGCCTACACAGGTGTCATCAATCCTATTCTCGCCCAATATCGAATGCAAGTCCATTTTGAAATGAGATGGCTGACAATGACCAAGTACCATTATAAAATAACCTCAGCATCCTGCACAATGCTGGAGTTTCCATGGAAACAGAAGCAACAAAACCATGTAAGGTCTTGATCACTTTCCTTTCAGTTTCATCTGCCCTTCAGTCCAATAGATATGTCATTCTCCCAGCATCCTAGGCCTTTCGATCCCCTTCTCATCTTCTGACCAACAGTTTAACTCTCCCTCTTTTCTGTTGCTTTTATTAATCTACATTGGTCTTCTCTCTGTCACTCTTGCCTTCTCCCTTTTCTCTTTTAGTTCTTTCTATCTGTTTCTCTCCTCCATTTTACAATTCTTTCACTCCTGTCCTCTGGTTCCTCAAGCCAGCCTTGAATTGATCAGGGTGGTGCTGGAGGAACACAGCAGGCCAGTCAGCATTAGAAGAGCAGGAAAGTTGACGTTTCGGGTCAGGACCCTTCAGAAATTTTCAGAGACAAGCACAGGAGTTCCTAGAAGCCTGGTACTCCACGAAGAAAGCCATCAACAAACACATAGAGCTCGACCCCATATACACTCACTATGAAGGAAAACCGGAAGTGAGGTAATCCAGCTCAATGGACTCCAGAGTTTAAATAACAGGCGGGAAAACACAATGGTGCTTCATCGGAGGCTGCACTGATGATGTTACCCAGCAGGGTAATGAAACGTCTGCGGAAAAACAATGAACCAGCTCGGTGAGCCAACCAATCACAACATCTGTTTCTCTCTCCTCAGACGCTGCCTGCCCTGATACGTTTTTCCAACACTTTGTGTTTTAATAACATTGACGTAATGACAGGTTTGCCTGGGCAGCAGATATAGTGCCTCCAAGCCACTCACCAAACTGACTGGGACATATATTGCTGTGTCTTCACTGTCAAAATGCTGGAACTCTCTCACATCTCATCGGACTGCAGCGATACAAGAGGGCAGATCACTACCGCTTTCTCCAGAGCAATTAAGAAAGGGCAATAAATGCTTGACCACCCAGCAGCACCCACATCTCATGAGAGAATATTTTAAGAAGTCATGTTCAGTGATGTTGTCTGAGAGAGAAATATTGGCCCGGAAACCAGGGAGAACTGGGATCTTTCCATTCAACTGTGAGTGCCGACAGGGACTTGTGTTTAAACATCTAATCTGAAAGCTGGCATCTCTGATAGTACAGAGAGAGTGCTAGACTGGGCTGGAGCATCAGTCAAAGGTTCTGGGCTCAAGCCCCTGACATGGGGCCTAAATTCACAATCGTCTAGCAGATGTGCTACCCTCTGAATCAAGGCTGGCATTTTCTGTTAGCAATTTCCTGGGGCAAATGTGAATGCCCTAACTCTGGCTGCAGAGAGTCTTCCAGGTACAAACACAGGGTTGCATGCAAGGATGATGGTTTTACAGCTGGAAGCCATTTGTGCTGAAGGTGGGTCATTTTTGCATGAGGGCACGGGATTGGGGGGTGGCGCTAGCTGAGTGGAGGTGACAGGATCCTTTATATCATCATCTCTCCAGCAATTACATGGATAATGCTTGTTTTGCATTAGCCAGGTGCACAGTTTCCATAAAGCTGTGGTGAGTCGGGATCCCAAACATGATGTGTTGTTAGACTGAAGAATGTAGATAATTACTGTTTTCACAACGAGTGAAGTGCAAGGATTTAATGATAGGTTCAAAAATGTTTAAGTTGTTCCATCTTTTCAGTTCCTTGGCAGCATCTTTGCAACATTTATATGAATGAAAAGTGAATATTCTGCTCCCCCTTCTGTTCTGTTCCCTCTGCAGTCTATTCATTATCGCTTATCCCAAGAGAGTAGCTGACTATTTCCGAACACCCTACTGCAAGAAAGATATATTGACCTCGAATGGTGTCACAGTTCAGAGTCACCACAGTGCTATCGAGGCTATAAGGGTTAAATCATACGTGCAGGATAGCAGGTTTATCGAATTGAGCTGTTTAAATCAAGGCAGGGCAAATGATCCTGTAGAAACTGAGAATCCAGAGCAGAGAGGCATAACTTTAAAAAGACAGCTAGGTTGTTCAGGAGTGAAACTATGAATCTCCTCTTTGGACAAAGGGTAAGGAAAATCTTGCATTCCCACCCATAAAAGATTATGGATATGGGAGTTCAGCTGGGACTATCAAGGCCAAGGATCAATGGATGTGCACAGAAATGCCAGCAATGGCAATATTTCAGAGCAGAGCTGGGGTAAACTCTCTGGTGTCTTGCTCAAGTGTTATCCTTCAATCAAACAGTTTAATTGGTCATTCATCTCACTGCTGTTTGTGATACTTTGCTGACTGCGAACTTCAAAGTAATTAATTGGCTATAAAGTGCTCTGGGTATTCTGGTGTTGTTTACTTTTTCTCTTTCGCTCATCATTCCACCAGTTTGCAAGGCTGTCAATCAAATGTGTGTAATGAGCTGATGTGTTCTTACCCCTGATGAAGGATATGCTGTCCAGCCCAGTTCTGCTGTGGCTATTCGAGTATCCAGCAGGGTTTCTGAAGAAAGAAGAAGAAAAAACAACAGGTCAGCTACTGAGCACTCACTCACTGAGGAAAAGCATTCACCCCAGTGCCCATCATCTCTGCAATAAGGAAAATGTACACACATCACCATTACAATCACAGATAGTAGGAACTGCCGATGCTGGGGAATCTGAGATAACAAGGTGTGTAGCTGGAAGAACACAGCAGGCCAGGCAGCATCAGAGGAGCAGGAAAGCTGACGTTTCAGGTCTAGACCCTTCTTTCTTTTTCTGAAGAAGCGTCCAGATCTGAAACGTCAGCTTTCCTGCTTCTCTGATACTGCCTGGCCTGTTGTGTTCCTCCAGCCCCACACCTTGTTAACCATTACAATCACTCTGGCTTCCCTGTAATTCTCTTCCATTGTTCTGGACCACTGAAACTGTCCAAGTGCTCACCAGTGCTGATCTAAGGTGGCACTCTTGGTTTTGTTTCCACAATGGGATCCCAATTTTCATATTTAAAGGGGATCCATTGAACACCTAGCTAGAGACCATTGCAAAATGGCACCAGCCATGTCAGAAGTGAACCCATTCATTGCCACCCTGTTAATGCCAGGTAAGGCAACCTGAGGTTGACTCCACAGAGGCTATTAGATGATTATTTAAATGGAAACAAATGTTCAGAGTAACAAGGAAAAATCAGGAGAATGGCACTCAGATGTAAAGCTTGTTGGAGAGCCGGTGCAGGCATGATAAGCCAAATGGCCTTTCCCTCTGCAGTGTAATAATTTGGTTGTTCTCAGAGGGGAGCTGCTCTCTAAAGTATAAGCTGGGTTAGAGAAATATTGCCTTCTGGCCATCACATTCCATTCACCAATGCTTTCAGAATTGGTCACTTTACTTTGATTATTCAAACGATGAGAGTAGACCCAGGTGGAGCATAAATGCTAAAATGGAACTATTACACTGAATGGTCCGGTTGTGGGCAGGAAAATGCAACACAAGTAATAAGCACACGTAATTGTTGGCTTCTGAAAATAAATTCTGGAAAACCAGCACCTTAATTGTTTTATTTAACCTACTTATCCAATCAAAGTGTTTTTATACACCCCTGGTGAATGAGATCTGTGTATATGTCCTGATCTGATGTTTCTTTTGAAATCCCTGGTCCTTTTAAATCCATGGAACTTTAAATATGCTTTTAAAAATCGGGCTGAAGCTATCAGTTACAGTTAAAAGACAATTTTGATTAACAGTCCATCTGGTGAAGTTCAGAAAACCAATTACAATCTGTTCATGCAATTTTAATCGAGTTTCTGTTGTTGCCATTTCCCAAGAGTTGTTATTCCAACTGAAGCCATTATGAATCTTTGACTGAGTATCAAAAGCTACAACCGCATTTATCTAAATTGGGGGAGTTGTTTGTTACTGCAACAGATGCACACTTGAGTGGATTTAAAAGCTTTGAATATGTTCCATGATAACAGAACTTTTCAGTATCAGATATATATGAATGACAGCTCTATTAGATTATCAGATGTTTAATCTTTATCTCTGTGTGGCTGAGGTTTGTTCAAAATAGAGATTGGGTGAATAGGGAGCAAGGGGATATCGGCGGGGGCGGGGGGGGGGGGGGGGGGGGGGGGGGGTGCGGAGTAGGGGTTTGGTGAGGGACCGGTTTGTAATGGAAGGGGAATGGAGGTGGCTAGAGAGTGTGTGGGGGTACGGAGCAGGCACTAACGTCTACACCATCTGGGAAAAATGTGCCAAAGAACAGAACTGGACTTCGAACAATCCCGCCTTGACACTGATTCACTCCTGCGGTCACCGACCGTCTGCTTTTGGGAGTCAACTGTATTTTACTTGCACTTACTCTGAACATGCATTGGGTTAAAAGGGGCCCTTTAAACTGAGGCAGGTTGTACAGAATCAGGAATTTCCCAACTCAAGCTGACAATCTTAGTGGCAAAAATCAAGCTGAAAATCTGCTCAATTTTATTCTGTCATGACTTTTAAGAATGGATACAGTTATCCAGTTACAATATTAAAAACTCCTACGTCTGTGCACACTTGCATTCACTTTATTATAAATTGCCATTTGTGTATTATCAAAGTTCAAACTGCCCATAGAAACCTGTCACACTGCAATTATAACCTCCCACCAGTGGAAGCGCTGTGGGAGGAATAACTTCAAACTGAGGACTGAATTTCCTCTGTGCCTTATGGTCCAGACCTCTGCCTCCTAACCTTCCTTTGCTGGAGGATCCATGATGGTTTTTGACTCTTCCTACTCAGCATCATACTCCAAGGAAAATGAAACAGTTCTTCAAACTGTTGCAAACATGGAAGGTGTCAGTAACAGTGCTATCAAGCAGCGCCTGCTCAGCAATAACCTGCTCAGTGACGCCCAGTTTGGGTTCCACCAGGCCCACTCAGCTCCTGACCTCATTACAGCCTTGGTTCAAACATGGACAAAAGAACTGAATTCCAGAGGTGAGGTGAGAGTGACAGCCCTTGATATCAAGGCTGCATTCAACCGAGTGTAGCATCAAGGAGCCCTAGCAAAACTGGAATCAGTGGGTAACGGGGAAAACTGTCCAGTGGTTGGAGTTATACCTGACACATAGGAAGATGATCATGGTTGTTAGGGGTCAGTCATCTCAGCTCCAAGACATCGCTGCAGGAGTTCCTCACTGTAGTGTCCTCGGCCCAACCATGCTTCATCAATGACCTTCCCTCTATGATAAGGTCAGAAATGGGGATGTTTGCTGATCATTGCACAATGTTCAGCACCATTCGTGACTCCTCAGATACTGAAGCAGTTCAAGTTCACATGCAACAAGATCTGGACATATCCAGGCTTGGGCTGACAAATAGCAAGTGACATTCGTGCTACACAAATGCCAGCCTATGACCATCACTAATAAGAGACAATCCAACCACTGCCCATTGACATTCAATGGTGTTACCATGACTGAATCCCCCACTATCAACATCCTGGGTGTTACCATTGACCAGAAACTCAACTGGACTCACCACATTAACACAGTGGCTACAAGAGCAAGCCAGAATCTAGGAATACTGCGGCAACTAACTCACCTCCTGACTCCTCAAAGCCTGTCCACCATCTACAAGGCACAAGTCAGGAGTGTGATGGAATACTCCCCACTTGCCTGGATGAGTGCAGCCCCAACAACACTCAAGAAGCTTGACATTATACAGGACAAAGCAGCCCGCTTGATTGGAACTACATCCACAAACATCCAATCCCTCCACCACCGACACTCAGTAGCAGCAGTGTGTACCATCTACAAGATGCACTGCAGAAATTCACCAAAGATCTTCAGACAGCACTTTCCAAACCCACGACCACTTGCATCTAGAAGGACAAGGGCAGCAGACATATGGGAACACCACCACCTCCAAGCCACTCACCATCCTGACTTGGAAATATATTTCCGTTCCACCACTGTCGCTGGGTCAAAATCCTGGATTCCCTCCCTAATAGCATTGTGGGTCAACCCACAGCAGGAGGACTGCAGCGGTTCATGAAGGCAGCTCACCACCACCTTCTCAAGGGCGACTAGGGATGGGCAAGAAATGCTGGGCAGCCAGCGACGCCCACATCCCACAAATGAATTAAAAGAAACATTAGTTATGAAACCAGAGTCTGTGTGAAATAACACTCAAAACTTTTCATACAATGGGCAATGGTCAAGGGCCTCAAACTGGTGCTAATTAAGTAAATATGCTCAAGATCTAATAGACAACTTTTTTAAAAATTGTACATTTATCGTTTAAAAGAAAATTAGGTGCCCATTCCATAATGTTTTCAAGTGTAATGCGGAATTAATTTTGTGACAGTCAATCCTGTCTGTCGTGTGGGTACAACACTGTATCTATTAGTTATTATAATTACGCACAGAGGCTATCAGTGTAATAGCATAGAAGCCTGAAAGAACCATGTTCTTCTGTATTATTCTGTCATTTTTAACTCATTTTTCAAACTCAACATGAAAACATCATGTTAACAAAATAACTCAATGTATTTTTGATATTATTAACTCTGATCTGAAAGGATTTCACGTATCAGTCTTTACCAATATCTTCAAAGAGTTGGCGTTTTGCATAATTAACAATCCTACTAACACTCAGAAACAAATTCAAAGCAGTTAATCACCACAGTTCAATTTGTGCGTCCCCACCGCACCCTCATCTAAATTCAGCAAGGTATCTCTGATTTTAACCACCTGATGGAAATCGGGTTTGCAAAGGCTTGCAATATTCTCTACCTGGTATTCACCCTGTTCACTCTGCAGTCCTGCCCTACCAGGCTTGCCAATTCTGATTGTGCCTATTCCTGGAGGTTCACTACATGGCCTCCTGTTGCAGACAGCTCCACCTGCATTCTCCTACTAAAACAAAACAAAGAACTTCAGATGCTGAAGATCTGAAACAAAACCAGAAATTGCTGGAGAAACTCAGCGGGCTGGCAGCATCTGTGGAGAGAAAGCAGAGTTAATGTTTCGAGTCCCGAGACCACCTCAAAACCTTAACTCTGTTTTCTTTCCACAGATGCTGCCAGAACTGCTGAGTTTCTCCAGCAATTTCTGTTTTCATTCCATTCTCCCAGTGTTGATTTTCTAACATGCCCATCACTACAGTATCCCACCATCCCATACTAATTGAATAATTCTTGACTTCCTGACAAAAAATAATTACCTTCCATCTCCAGCACCTTTACAACCAGCAAACAAATGTGCCTGAAGAAAATACAACATGTTGTTTTGAATGCTCGTGTTTTTTTCTTTTGATTATGCAGATTAGTATGCAATTCTGCAAAATAAGTTAAGAGTCCATGTTGTTCGGAGCAAGATACTGGCATGGAGACAGCTTTGGCTGACTGGCAGAAGGCACAGTTGGGATAAAGGGGTCTTTTTCAGGGTGGCAGATGGTGACTACTGGAGTTCTGCAGGGTTCAGTGTTGGGACCACAGCTATTCACGTTATATATTCATGCTCTGGATAAAGGAAC